TATCACCGCTTCACTGAGCATGGATACAACAGTGTCGCCATACTCCCGTTTCACCACTAGCATAGCTCATATCAACGCAACAGTATTTCCGATTTTCAAATTAGGCAAGTTTTCCAAAGCATCTGGTTCGCATCTGGCACCTGGCACAATTCACTGGTAATCATCTTAGTCAACCCTCGCCTCGCCAACTGACACTGTAAAGGTTAAAAAAGTCCAGAAACTTCAATTTTACTTTTAACATTACGGAAATAAATAAACATTTTAAAGAAGAATTGCCTGCTTAAACATATAGGGCTCTTTAATGAACACATCTCTTTTGGTAATATCTTGTAAACATTTCATCACAAGGTAACAATAATACTTAATCATTTTCACCAACGTCATTGCCGAAAAATATACAAAGTTCATTCCGATGAAAGAATATGGCCCACACTGCACCAACAATATCTTATTAATTATTGAAGTAACAACAATAATCGGTGTTTATATACTAGGCACATAAAGAAACTGTGCATACAAAAAATTAAAATCTAAAGTTACCAAACCTGTGTAGACACATAAGGTTTCAAACTCAGAGATTAGTGACATGTATCCAACATGCATGCACGTGCCACGTTCCGTGACGTCAGTGGTTTCGACCTTGAGACGTGCAATACGTTGTTGCACGTGCATTCCGGGAAAGAAAAACAGAGCAAATGAATGCCACACAATACTGTCACTTTGGAAAGCTCAACCCCTGCCCTTGCGATCGTTCAAAAAATTAAACGGCTATTGAAACGCATAGCATGCCAAGCCTCACGTCTGCACAACGTCATGAGGCCATTGTTATGGTCCGTGGGTGAATGTCTCAACGACAAGTGGCTGCACATTTCCACTGCCACCGGAACACCATTTCTGCACTGGTGAGACACTACCAGAACACAAATGACGTCATCGTGTAACAACGCCAAGACAGGACAGATGGATAAGGGTGACCCATCTTCGCCACAGACTGCAGTGATGACTACCCGAACCATCCCAGAACTTCGCCGTATCCACTCCAAGACAGTTCGACAACGTTAACGTTATCACGTGATCAGACCACGACGTCCCGCCATACGGCCTATCCTGACACAACGTCATCGACAAGCTCGCCGAAATCATATCCGCAGACATGGTGTAGAAATATTGTTTTTACAGATGAGTCCAGGTTTAACATTTCCCATAGTGATGGACGTCAACGTGCCTATAGACGCGTGGGAGAACGTTATGCACAGGCCTGTGTCTTGGAGAGGAATCGCTTTGGTGGTGGTTCCGTGATGATTTGGGGTGGAATAACAGCACGCCAAAGAACTCCTTTGGTGATTGTTCAGGGGAACTAAATTCCTTTTCTGCAACGTCATGGCCCTGGGTTAATATTCCAACAGGACAATGCCCGCCCGCATACGGCAAGGGTTGCTATGGATTTCTTGCAACACCACAACGTTGACTTACTGCCTTGGCCTGCAAATTCACCGGATCTCTCCCCGATAGAGCATGTTTGGGACGAGATGGATCGACGTCTACGCCGTCTTCCTCATCCGCCAGATAACGTCCTTGACCTTGAGAGAATCTGGCGTGACATCCCACAAGCCTTCCTTGCACGTTTGATGGGCTCTATGCGTCGTCGATGCACTGCTGTTCTCAATGCCAATGGTGGACATACCCGTTATTGAGCTTGTGACATGGTCGTTTGACCCCTGTCCCGCTTGTGAACTCGTGACGTCATTGTGATTGACTTTTCAATTGAAATTCTCCCGACTTGTTATGGTCTCATGATCCCTCCATTAAAGTTTATATGTACCTTTGACATATGTACCTTCGGACTTATCAATTGGGATCATATTTTGACAATGCACAGTTTCTTTATGTGCCTAGTATATATTGTATACTTGGGTAGGGATACTACTAATTACAATAATAAACAAACCGTGTGGAATTATCTAAAAGGCAAAACAACTTGGTCCAGCAACTTATTACTATCATTACCCATCTGAACTAAATACCCCACAGTTTAATCTACAATTATGATAAATGAAATTACCTCGTCACTGTACCTACGTTTATGCTGGTAACGTGCCATTATTTCCCTCGAATTAGCAGTCTTCAACGTGTTTACAATGAAAATCATTTACAACACTGATAAACTTTCATGCTTGGCATGTTGGGATGCTGGTAACGCAACAATACCCCAGGCTTACCTCAACTCTATTTTCCTTAATGTCAAACCTAACTTCACCCTACGCACAAAACACAGTAGATTTCGTATTTCAACTTCATGTAATTATTCTATATAAAACATATTCATTTGTCTCGAAAATATTCTAATGGTAATTTTCCCCCCAATATTTATCATATAATGTGCTCAGATCTGTCACATTAACTGGAATTTCCATATTGCTCAAACTTCATTACTGTGCATACACCTCACTATAAGCAAACAATATCTAACTTATGCAAAAGCCTTGTTAAAATACATCCATATATTCATACCCAATTAACAAAAATTCATAATATGTTTGCCTACCTTATAAACGGTGTTTGTTTCCGTCCACAAATATTAAAACACTTCCTAAAGAATTCACACTTTCACCACTCTCATATATGCAGCAAGTCTATCACAAGGTACGTGAAAATCAACACGATATAGCCATCAATTGGTCTGTGCTCGCTCGAATCAGTAGGGATAGAGTTAGTCAGAATCACCGGTATTCCACCGAAAGTTCATCCACTCTACTCACGCTCCTTTGTGTCTGTAGCAAGTCAAAATAGAACCGCCACAATGCTGCTTTCTACTGGTCTCCTCGCAATTTCCAACGGAATCTCAGCCACTGTGATTCCTTTGCCAAATGCGGGGTAGAGGCAATTCAAATCAAATCATCAAACTCACTCGTCATAAAAATCAACAGTCTTTGATGTGTTGCAACAATGTCACTTCAAATGTTCCTCGTTCACTGAACACCGTTATGAAAACAGTTTAGGCCTCTTTCCCAATGCCACACTGTTGCGTTACCACCAACACCGTACATAACAAGGTCAGGCCATCTCATGTAGTGCTGGGAGGGGGTACAGTGCTACGCACATCAAACAGTAAGCTGGTTTCTGTCGTGTTGGCTGTATACAGACAAGTTGCTACCTTTTTACAACGTGTGTAAACTGAGAAAACAATGTCGATTAGTTATTTCACGAATGATGTTACGTTACAATGTTAAAAACGTACAACGAGAGAAACCTATACTACCCCTTTCAAGTCGTGTTCAATTCGCAATTCGACTTGCAGGCAATTCATGGATCCGCGCATATTGATTGACAGCTGGTATCAACCAATCAGAAAAAAGCTTCCATTCTGTGCCGATCTGCTATCAAACGCCCGCCATATTTTACCCACAAACAAACGCCGTTGTCCTTAGTTACCGTGTGGTGAAAAGCACAGAAAATGGTATTACGATGCGCGTGGGGGACATGCAATGCTGACGAACGTTACCCTGAAAGACTGGAAGGAGGTTTTTTCGTCCGATTTCCAACTGTCAAACGGAATGAAGAAAAATGCAAGCGCTGGATTAAAGCTTGCGGTCGTCCCCATGAGCAGCTAAATTTATCCAGAATAAATCAACACAAAGCTGTATGTTCTAAGGTAAAAATTATTGCACTTAAATAATATTTATAAAAAAGGCTTACTTAGTTTTATACAGAATGTTCACTGTTATAACACGAGATCGGAGCAATAATATATCTGGAGAATTCATTTGTAACCATTTCTGGCAAAGGAAATTCGATCTCTGATTCGACGTAGATTCATTCATGTTTTTTAATGATGGAAAGATACATGTAAATAATATTCATAATGACAATAAATAATAAACATCATCATAGTCATGTCAAACATTATACATTCGCTTTTTTCAGACTAAACACCAGCAAGCCATCCACCCAGTCGACTGCTTCAGTTCAGGTATTGTTACCCAATGACCAAGCAGAAAACAAGTCCACTGACTTCCTGATCAACACATCTACACAGACTGATGAAACATGTATGTATATATGGAGATTCTGTGTTCATTTATTCCTCGGTGGTTGCATTCTTTAGGTAGGATACCGCATGATCTCTGTAAAACATGGCTAGTTTCATTAACATTGACTGCATAAGCAATATCTGGAGTTATTCTCTCCACATGCATGTCCAGTTGAGTGAACACAATAAATTCACAAAACCTGCACCCAGTAACCATCAACTGACCTTGTACTTGTGCGTAGTGATGGTGAGATCTTTTCAAAGAAGTTACACCATTTTCCTTTTAAGGAAAAGTCTAAAGCTTCACAAGCATTGTCAATGGTCATGTTTGCGTGCTGAGTAGGGACATTTGATCTCAACAATCCCACTTTCACCATTGTCACAAATCTTGCCATCAGGTGTTGCTCCCAAAATGAAAACTCATTGTTTACAACAAACCCACATTCATGAAAATGTCTGTCTGGATATTTCTGATGGTACCTTGCCTTAGCATCTTTTCATGTTTCTTCCATATTCTAGTGATTGTGCTTTTATATTTCTTCTAGTGAAAATAGAGTTCAAGAAGCCATGATTTGGTCTTTTTTCTGGACAAAACCTTTCCAAAACTTGATGCAGTTAGACGTTTCCTGCGTTCATCAAACCAGAGTTCATTTGACTGACTCTGTGTTTTCATTTCAAAGATTTGGGATCCTTACAGATTGTATCTTCATCATTTTAGATGAGCAAATTCCTGGGTAAGCTTCACTGGTGGTGGCAAGATAACACTGGTGTTCCCACATATGTGTGTAGTTGGTGTTGCATTCTTGATGTGTTTGATCTGAAATTATAAATAAATCATTCAAATATCTTGTCGTTTCAGGGATATCAGCAATGGACGTACTAGCTCTGGCAGCAGAGAAACATGATTTGGAGCAACAATTACAAGACAAGTCAAGAGAAATAAGAGAGTTGAACATCAAAGTGGCATCACATGAGAAGACAATTCAGGAATTACAGAGAGCTTCAACAATCATCATTATTTTCCATAGATGTTGTGATCACCAGGGGTAAAAAAATCAAAAACTTATTCAAACACTATACAGGTGTTACATATGTGAGATTTCTCACACTACTAACATTTCTGCTACCCCAAGGAGAGGACATTGATTATTCATCAGGGAGAAAAGACATCAAGAGACTTAAACCTCAGGATGCATTATTGCTTACTCTCTGTCGGTTAAGGCATGGGTTTGGACTTAAAGACATTGCAGTTCGCTTTGGACTAAGTCCTCAGTCAGCAGGTATCATTTTCAACACATGGCTTGATCTGTTATATTTCAAGCTAGGGCAGATTCCAATATGGCCACATAGGGATGATATAATACAACATATGCCTGTAAAATACCGTAGAGACTATCCAACAACATTAATTATCATTGATGGGACAGAAGTCAAAACACAGACCCCATGTGCTGTAAGTTTGCAAAGTCAAGTCTACAGTGATTACAAGTCCTCTTCTACTCTTAAGGGTTTGATTGGATGTGATCCAAATGGAAGCTTAATGTTTGTTTCAGAACTATTTACTGGTTCAATATCTGATAAAGCAATCACTGAACAGTCTGGGTTTTATGATGTCATTAAGTCAATGAAAGAAATTGGACACATTAATGAAGGTGATGGCATCATGGTTGACAAAGGTTTTTCTATCAAGAATGAAGTTGAAAAACTAGGTTTGAAACTGAATATACCTCCAAAAGGAAAGACAGGAAAACAATTCAACATGGGAGAAAATTCATGTACAGAAAAAGTGGCAAAGCACAGAGTTCACATTGAGAGACTTATTAACAAGGTGAAACAATATAAATTATTGTCAAATTGTGTTCCAACATCTCTATTCTCAAGGATAAACAAGATTTGGTCTGTTTGTTGCCACCTGACATTATTTCAGGATGTTTTTGTTAAGTAATGGTGCATATCTAAGTTGTTCAATGAGGCCAAGCTACTACTGTATACAGCAACTCGTAATAAAACAAACTTTCAAACACTTCTGAAATGTTTTAAGTTAGTTGCACCTCTTTGACATAGATATGTAAATATATACCTGATAAGATAGTGCAGATCCAATTGGCACATCTCCATAGGAGTTTGCACCGAAGGCAAATCATGTTGTGCTGTTCTATGCAGGAGTGGTGTGCCCTGTAGAGTTTGAGACTTGCCATATCAACCCTTGGTAGCCTGAAATACACAGATATACATACAGATCATATCACTGAAAAATCATCTTACAGTTGTGTTTGTAACATGAATTCACATCATTAAAATGCAGATTTTCTATCATGAATAGAGAATTCCTTCATTCTGTTACATAAGGGCAGTTATCATTCTTAACTTGTAATCAAGTAAAATGTACATATGTTTCATGGATATCTTGAATTATCAATTTGAGCAAAATGTCTGATGAAATAAGAATAAAACTATACTTGTAATTCATGTTGGTGTGGCATTGTATTGGCTTCCCGCTTGCGTTGCTCAGTTGGTCTAGCAACCACAACCCGGGCTGATAGGCACTGGCAAGATTTTGTCTCCCCTTTGGCTTGTTCCATTGTTGTGGCATGGATGTGGAACTCAAATCAGATGGAATTTCTTTGAAGTTGTGGAGCTTGAATCCCTGCAATGTCTTGATCAGACCTACATTATATGGGAACACTTCCCATAATCTGAAAGAGAAATAGCAAAGATCAAATTTATTTAGCAGATTATGAGTAGATTTTATGGTTTACTTGATACTCAGTAGACTGGTTCAAATAAATAAGGCCTTGACCATACAAATGTTCTAACCTAATATTTAAGATTTTTCTTCAAGCATGGATTTATTGGGAAAATGCTGGACCAAAAATTGTGGTATATTTGCATTAATTCACTTTGAGAATTTTATTATTAGAAATGACCTAAAACTTCATAAACAACATTTGATTTAGGGCCTCTCACAATTATATAATTAAAACCAAACGGTATTTTGACATTGACAAGTCTGGCCTCTACGTTCTACACCCTTTCAAGATTGGCTGTACTATGCATCACAATAAATTAAAATCGTACGCACACATTTTCGTAACAGGTATAAAATCATCTGCGAAAATAGCAACTTACCCAGCTTTACAAGAGCAATAAGCATATTGATATTTGATTCGGTCGACATCAAGGTCAAGTGACAGTCGATGAGGCGAGTTGTTTTCCTGAGTGATGGCCAACACTTGGCGGATACGGTCGGGAACTGAAGTGTCACCTCATGAATGTAGCCTTGCTGGTAATAATTAAGTCCCCTTTGCATGCTCTTAGTCGATATTTGATCAGCAATCGGTAAAAAGGACACAGAAAAGTTTTCAGGAATGCATGCGAGACAATTGCTTTGCTCGGCGGCGGCCATTTTAATACCAGGCAATATTCCGAGTAACCAAGGAGTGGGTCATGAAAAAAATACAGAAAAGTGCAGTGTTTTGAAAAGTAGACTAAAGTTACACCAAATAAGTAGCCTCCAACTTTCATCATTGGAAACATAGCCATTCACAGCGTTAACGGAAGTACAATCCGCCATTACACCCAGTGTATAGAAATTATGCAATACATTATAGCTTTCAATTTCCACTGAACACTAAACAGCAATACACTTACACTAACACCTGCACAGTGGGTTGGGGAAATATTGCGGGTCAGTCTCATCACATGTCTTTCTCAAAATTCTGTCTTTCTAAATTCACCGTCAATCGCTTGTACTTCAAATATGGCGTCAACTCGGTAGCCGCTGTCACTACGTCACATTTCGCCATATAAATAATAAAGTTAACATTTTTAATCCGTACAAGTTTATGGTATTATCAGCACTCGCTTGGTAGCCTGCAAAACAATTCACCATTAGGCCTCACACAAATGTCACAATTATCGTATCGTTTCTAACAAAACACATTATTCATGAAAGTGTGGCTTACCCTCTCACGGTGGAAAGTTCACGCGTGGTTTGTTCATTGGTTAATCGGTAGGCCATCATCCAATCCCATTACTTGCTGTCACTCTTCCACCACGTGTTCTGCCTCGTACAATATGATAGGTTGGATTTTTCCATCGAAAATTTTAAAAGCGATGTCTGGAAGCACTGATTAATAGGTACAGATAAATTGACATTGAAGATATATGCACATGGTAAAGTAAACAAACTTTAATTAAAGGTATTTATTTGTGCTAAGATTGCTAAAGGATTCACAGTCACTATTGTCTTACAACAGGCAGATAACACATGTGTGACATGTGTGTGAAATGGACTGAATCGAGACATCTAATTTCAGCAAATACCTCGTGAAGTAAATGTGAACATTCAATATAGCGACAATGTGACAAACGTTCATTGTCAATTCATTCAACAAACTTTGTTGTTGAATTATCATGTAAATGTAGCTGCTGTGATTGTCAGCTCATTTCTTTTTCTCTTAACTTGGCCTAAAGCTTCTTTAATTATGTCTATTATAGTAGTCTTTAGTTCTCAATTATTTCAGTGAATCGTTTTCAGTTGGGAATTCCAAATGGTGTATTACTTGTCTACAATATTGGTGTTTGTTAACCATTTACCTTTTTTCACATTTTTATTTTTGTTGTTGGAAATACAAGTTTCCAAACTGGAGAATTTCCTTTGCCTATCATTAATATACATTGCAAAATCCTATTATGCAAAATGTCTTGTTATATTAAGAATTAAAATAATTACAAGGATTACTATTGTAATACACTATAACAATAACACCTGTCACGGTAGTCTTCCTCTTCGATTTATATATATAGATAATGTCTATCTCTTTCAAATTCATATATATTTGTTGTTGTCTTGAATATAAAAATGATAACTATATCTATTATAATAAAGAATACTTACAGCATTTTCTCACCACAAGTAGAGGTATCCAGCTATCCACCGTTCCCGCAGTGGGATCTGAAATGTACAACACGTGAACGGTATGCACGTGCTGCATTTGTCTCATGCCTCTCGTGCATCACCACAGTAACTGGCGGGTCCCAGTGTTGTTTAAACCTAAATTAGGCTTCATTAGTTGGTGAGTGAGTGAGTTTAGTTTTACGCCGCACTCAGCAATATTCCAGCTATATGGCGGTCATTAGTTGGTGATAAGTGAATCTCCATAACGTAACTGGATCGTCAATAGTTTCCAAAAGATCTTCAATAGTTGTTTAACCATTCAATAGTTTGCAGCTATTGACGGACTACTTTTGATGAAAGACATAAAGGGGTCCTTGTGAATGTACTCGCTTTATACACAATGCTCCACTAAACGGGGGTTCAAGTACAAGTATCTGCATCGGGGAGGTGGAATGCCTACAAACATAAAAAAACAACGATGTTATTTCAGTCTTTATTCTATTCAGTCACTACAACCAGATGTTTACATTTGGAATGTGACTTTAGCTCCGCTTCTTTCCACCGTGAAGCTAATGGGAGCATTCGAGACGTTGGCAACGGTGCTTTCCGCTGATCCACCGGCTGTGGAGACAGCTCCGATGTTTGGAAGCGTTGGGAAACGTTTTGCCGTCACGGACGTCGATGGTGACGAGGACGCCACAAAGAATTTCGGTGCGAGAGGACGGGTGTCTACATTATTAGACACTTTACCCTGCACGACATCGTCGACAACCTGCAGCATTTCTTCGCTTGTTCGCTTGTATCTGAAACACCGCATTTGTCAGCTTAATGATGGAAAAACGCCCGAAGTGATACAAATCTTTCACGTTTGTCATTTAGGTGGAGCCAACGAACACGGGTATGCTGCTGACAAACTCAGAACCATAATCACAGCCATACGGGATCGAACCCACGATCAACGGTTACTTGCGTACCTAAGGGACGCAACTCTGCACAGCACATGGCGCAGTCTTAGACGAATTGGCCACCATGACCCTATTCCCTTTAAAGAAGGGTTGCAATAACAAATATGATATATTTTCTTTAATTTTCAAGAATGAATTATCGATCCATAATTTAAAAATATTCATGTTTTTAGAGTCAGCATTTTTCCACATACACAAAGTGTTTGACTTCGTCTAATGTAATAGTTACCTGAGTGACATGTACTTCTCGTGAAGCCGGACTGGACATCTGAGAGGATGTTCTGTATTGGGTCCAACTGTGACATACTTTCTAGGGATATTCTTGTGCTTTAATCCACCGTTGTTTGTCTTAGTCACACCTTCTAAATACCTCAAATGCAAGGCACCATTCTTCATAACAATTTCAAAATTACCAAATTCTCCTACCGATAATTCATGGTGTTCAGCACCACCCCTTAAACAAAAACAGATGCTATTTAGGTAGAATACTGTGTCTAGTAGTTTTTCCTCCTGGCTACGCGTCAAAACATCAGCCTTCCGCTTCTGAATCCCAATGCCTCTTCGCGCAAGGGCTTTCATTTTTGCATCCAAAATTCGGCGAACAGCAGCAAATTCAAAATCACTAAAAATGTTTATGTCTTTGCCGTTTTGTTTTAGGAAGTACTGAACTGAGCTAAGATTTTCATTGATGGTGTTCCCATGATACTCCTCCCCTTTTCGATTCTTGACTTCCGTTATAAAGGAAACTAGATGTCGACATAAATCGTCATCACTGAGATTCAGGAGACACCGTCCCAGACCACAACTGACTCCTTTCCTTTCCTGATACCATGCATCAAAAACCCGTACAGCCCAGTGACTTTTCTTTTCCGTATGTTTATTTTTAGCCAACCTTTCCAAATTGGTGATTTCCTCAACAGTTAGATGTGCGCCGAATCGGGACTCAGATTCTTTATTTAAGATCTTTTCAGGAAGGTGTTCTTGCGCTTTTTCAAAGTTTTGTGTTGCAAGTAATAGTTCTTCATCCGAAGAATTATTTTGCTCAAAGTCATCTTCCACTGACACAACAAAGTCTATATTAGAAATGTCACTTTCAAGAAGATGTTCAAAGTCTGAGTTAATGTCACTTTCCGCCGTAAATGCATCTTGCGAAAACCTACTCTGCGTCAAAAATAAGTTATCATCACGATCATCAGTCATTGCTACCTTCCTACCTTTCACCG